ATAAATATTCTCTTTAAAAATATGATGAACTATATATTAATAAATAATTTTAAGATAAAGTTGGTCAAACATCATTGATTGAGATATAAAGAAAGGTATGTTAGTGAAAGGTTAAATATACCAATCATTATGGATACCTATTATAAATATAAAACTCTATAACAAGCTTTCTAGTCATCAAAATATACTTAGTTTATAATGTCATAATTGGATGAATCTTTTTTCATGAGATTAATTTTATGATTATCACTGTTGTAACCCAATTTTGGATTAACTAAAATTTTCTCAAATGTTATTTTATTTTATTATTCATAACAAAAAAAAAGTAATAATAAAAAAAGAAGTAAAATATATTTTCTCGAGTCAACCGCATCTTTCAATTAAAATCGAGTCCACCGGGTCAATATGGGTTAAACCATGTCGATCAGGATGAAAAATGAGTTTCGGGCTGTTTCGGGTCAAAACCGAGTCCACCGAGTCAATATGGGTCCCACCATATTGACCACGATGAAAAATGAGTTTCGGATCAAAACCGTCATTTTCGGTCAAAACCGAGTCCACCGGGTCAATACAGGTCCCCCTATGTCGACCGCGATGAAAAATGAGTTTCGGGCCGTTTCAGGTCAAAACCGTCATTTTCGGTCAAAACCGAGTCCATCAGGTCAATACAGGTCCTACCATGTCAACCGGGATAAAAAAAAAAAAAAAGAGTTTCAGGCTATTTTGGTCGAAACTGTTATTTTTTATCAAAAAAAACCAGTCCACCGAGTTGATACCCGTATAAAGATTTTTTTTGTAATTAAAATTGATTTTTAGTGGTTGAAAAGCTTTTTATAATACTGATTTGAGTTTTTAATTTTACCCCTATAAATAAATATTATTATATATAATAAAACAAAAAAATAATTCAATTTTGTCACAGTAGGCGGAAAATTTCTGCCGATGGTAGGCGGTGCAGCTGTATATTGAAAATTTTGCATAATCCTGTGATTACCTGCACAATCTGTGATTCATTGTCCCCTATCATTGGCAATGAAACCAAGCCAACAGGAGGAAGAAAAAAGAAAAGAAAAACAAGAGAATTCTGAATTCGAGAGCAAACTATTTCTATTACTATTTGTGTTACTATTTTCCACTGTTCATTTATTTTCTACTTTTTCTTCACGCAAGTAAGATATTGATTTTTTAAAAAACAATTTAAAAAATACCAAAAATATCTCAATTGTTAGATCTAATAGTATTTAAATATGAGCCTTTGATTTTTTAGTATACAATAGGCTTTACCACATCGGATTAAAACCCAAATCCATCTCAGCCTTTAAAATAATCTACCATTTGATCCTGTTGCGCCACATCATCAGGTGTACCAAACACTCAGTACACCGCGACACACCAGATCATAGCCCAACCCATCCTGACCGTCCGATCAACTTGCAGATCAAACCAATCACAACCGCACGATCTGTTCATCCGCGATCCAATGGCTCCCAGGCTTTAGACGCATTGGTGCACCATACGCTCATTCACACCGTATCAAAGCTTATAGCCCCTCTCTCCTCTTGCCAACGATTCTCTCTCTCCTCTGATCTTCCATTTCCGGCCATTTTAAGTGGCCAAACTACCACAGAAAGGTGCATCGCCTCCTCTAAAGCAAAACCTCGACCGTTTTACATGTTTTCACCGCCGAATCTGGCCGGAAAAAGGCTGCGACAGTCATCGACCAACAGAACTTCAAGTCGTCGTTTCTCCCTCATCAGCCATCAACGGTCGTCGAGACCACCACCGTTAGAATCCTCGTCCTCAGATCTACCAGAATCAACCATCTATTGGCCGGAATCTCACCGGAAAATTTCACCGCCACCAACAGTAGCTGCGCGTGAGCCACACGCGCTACCAGTGGCATTTTCATAAATTTTAGAGAAATCTGAGGGTATTTTAGTCTTTTACCTATACAGTGGCACTCAGGTAATTTTATGATTTTTTTATGTTATTTTTGATATTTTTGTATATAAATACTTGTAAATTTTTTGCATGTAAAAAACAAAAAAAACAAAAATAAATTTAAAATAAATAACGACGTGGGTCCAACACCCATTTTATCATGTTACTATTCATGGGTCAAAACCCAATTCTCAAGAATGGATATACCCATTTCTTAATGATATCAAAATAATTTTTGTTTTATAAAATAAATATTATTTGTCGACACGTCTCTTTTATTTAAAAAAAAGGACCGATATCAAAAATTTAAATACCAAATATGGATTATGTCCATTATTATTTCTTTTGGTAAATCAGACATAACTCTCCTTTTTAGGGACAAACATCGATATTTTAGACAAAGTTTCCTAGTTTTAGGGACTAATGTCATTTTTAACGAGTCTCCTATTTTTAGGGACTGATATTAACCATCTTAAAAAATTTGCAAATAAGTTCAAAATATAATTGCATTTGAATCAAATAAAAAAAACACAAGTAAGGGTAACCTTTCTCTGAAAGGATGTTTTAAGGGTGGTGTTTACCTTTCCTTAATTATAACTAACACAGTACCTGAATCTCTGGGACTAGTGTCTAATTTTGGATTTATAGTTCCCTCAAATTACTAGATGGCGACTCCAATAAAATCTTTATTTCTCCTAATCAAGAAAAAAAATAATTATTCTTTTTATTAAAATAAACAAAAGAGAGTGAAGCCGTCGCCCGACGTCGTGTAACGACAATCACCATATA